CATGATTTTCATCATCATCATCATCATTGTTGTCATCATCATATTCATAATAGTCATCAGAAATATTACCTTCATCGTCAGCTGCAATACAGGCACTAACAACATCATTAGTATTATCATCACCACCACCACCATCATCATCATCATCATCATCATCATCATCATCATCATCATCATCATCATTACCATCACAACCACCACATCATCATGATCACCGCCATCATCAAAGAGTGTAAACTTTGCGCAGCAAACACAGCCTTCACATTACACGTACATCATCAAAATAGAGAAGTGTGATTCGTGAGGCGTCTAACTTAACTCCCTTCAATGTTACCGGCATGACAAACAACATTCACGGCCAAGGCGAACTAGGTTCTGAAAATCAAAAGATGGATTCTTAAATCACCAGGGGTATTGGTAGAACTTATTTACTACATTGAAGGGGTGTCCCTCAGGCGTGGTTCTAGAAGAATAATGGAAGGGGAGGGGGGCTTTAGAGTGGACTTTGGGGGTTAATCTAACATTCTTTTTCTTTTAAAGCTATCTCTTAATTTCTCTTTGACTATTGATATCAAGTTTATTTTAAGGGAGGCTTGAGCCCCAAAGCCATTAGAACCCTACTGTTGACACCTCACCGAGGTCAAATCTGCGCCCAAAATAGGGAATTCGACTACAGTCATGTATAATCATATGCAAAAAGAAGAAAAAAAATAAAATGTACTATACCTACAATTACAGACTTGTCAAAAGAAATATGGAACGGATGTGTCACCGCCCTTCCCCCACCCCCAATACATCTTTACGCTTCCCCAACATGTTTGGCAGGTGATGATGCAGGTGAGAAGCTTGAATAGCTGGGAGGTACACAATGGTCTTAACGTCTTAACTGGTTACTGATCTGCCTCATTTTCCGGCTCCTTGCACGGTCTTTGAGGTATTAAAGTGGTCTTCCAACGACCAACGCATATCTTGGCTTTGAACTTGAAAGCATCTTTGATATTGCAGATGGTGCAGGCTAGATTGATTCACGATCAAAAGGTATTATTCAGTGTGCATGCGATTGACTTCTGAATAGGCCAGTTCATTATTTATAGCAATGATTCAAATTTGTAAACACCAAGGTCGTTTTTTGTTGTTAAATCAATGTGGTGGGGGGCTTGATTTTGTTTGTATTCATGTGCCTTTAGTTCATTGATAATCGAAAAAAGGGGATTTAGCCCCCAAGCTTTGTCTCCCTCTCCAATGCACCAAACTATATGTTAACTGCCCTAGATCTCTCTCTCTCTCTCTCTCTCTCTCTCTCTCTCTCCCTTTTCCAGCTTTCTCTCTACCTTTGGAAGACGTTATAAGCCCCTTTTAGTAGGTACTTTGTATATGCTAATTTTGAACAAAAAAAATGAATAGATAAATGACGGTAATATTAAAAACAGCAACAACAATAATAATGGCATATATAAAAAAGAAAAAGATAATTATGACAATACTAAAAAAAGAAGAAAGAAGAAGAAGAAAGAAGAAGAAGAAAAAGAAGAAGAAGAGAAGAGGAAGAACAAGAAGAGGAAGAACAAAAAGAGAGGGGACGCAGAAGAAGAAAAAAAAAGGAGAATATATCATTACACTTGCTTAGTTTCGAAACAAAAACAACTTTCACATCGGTTACATCATATTAACCTGTTACATTTTTATTGTGCCACTTCAAGATCTGTGAACTACATGTTTCCGAGCCGATTTTCTTGGACTCTCAACAAAGAACATTAATATCGTGGGAAGACACTGACATAAAGATGTATGTTTTGCTTTGCATCGCCATAAATAGTTAAACATAGGAAATTCTTTTCACAGCTACTTCACTGCACATGATTTATTGTATGGTTTATTGTATTTCAAATTCTATTATTATTACTTAATGATTAATTAATGCATTAATGGCTATATTTCATAATGTGAAAGAAAGGAATACTCATCTAATGAATTATTATGACCCAGATATCAAAGAATTCTTCACAATCCTTACAAGATATACAGGATCTTCGAATCTTTTTAAAATAAGATGATGAATACAAATTGATGAATACAAATTGAAGCATTTTTTTTTTTACAGCGGAACATGATATCACACATGTATCTATCTACAATTCTACAAAATGAAAAACAAAATGAGTACATTTCAGAGGTAATACTTGTATGTACATTTAAAGCATTAAGGAATACAAATGTATGTGTATGTATACATACAAAGTAGTATATTTGGCTTTGTGGTTCTTCTTGGCATGCATGAAAATGCCATCGCACAAATATCAAACTGGTTAGTGGTTTTAGCCTCTTTGTAATCTCTCTTAAAGTTATTACCCCTCACTTCATTCTCTTGCCGCTCCAAGTCTGATACAAAACATGCAAGGAATTTGAAATACTTAATGACTTGTCTGTGGTGAGGTACATATGTATTTTTCTTAATATTTTTAATCAAGAAAATCAAAAGGCCTTTTAATCGTAGAAAACCAGGGCAGATTTTCACACTTGTCATGGCCAGTCGTGTGTGATAAAAATGTTTTGAGTTGATGCATTGACATCCTTTCATTTGCTCTGATAGCATGCAAAGATGTTTACATGAATGTAAATAATTCATAAAGCTTAATATTGCTCACATTTATGTTTAACAGCCTCTTGGATAATCAAGTGTGCCATGGTTTTCCATCTTATTAAGATGACACACTGGGCAAGCCTAATGCAAATAAAATTACTAGAATTGATTTTCTTACAAGGTTGCTATCTTAAGGTTGCTCTGCGAATTGTACTGGCTTAAAAAGACTCGTCCATAATTGTTGAAAATGTTAACAAATAACGATTGAATCAAATTCTTTGAAAATGGAACTGGTAAATGCATGTAATCTCTCAATTAGGCTGAATACAAAAATATTGAATGAAACATTTCACATCAAGACTTGGCCTATACAAATTAAATATGGTTGATTCAAGATGTATAAATTAAGCAAGTAAACCAAAGAATGTTACAAAGTAATTGTCCAAGGGTTCAAATAAATAAGCTACAAGCATGCTTCAACTTTTTACAAAATATATAAGTAAAAATTAGAATATGTGCATAGCGTACAACATATAATTTTTTTTTTTTTTTTACTCTAGAAAATAAAATATTCACCCATATGCATAGCCCACTATCTCACAATCTCCTTTAATAGCAACCACAAATCCTGTTTTCTCCATGTAAACTAAGCTCAAAACATATAGGTACCGGTACATAGAAATTAACAACTTTACAATATCAGTGTATTCTACATCTATACTACCAACATATCATTTGTCATTATTCATACACAAACTAGCCATGAATTTTTACAAATCTTGCATAGTTAGACTACAATTGAGCAACAAAGGTATAAAATAGCACCTAAAACACAAATATACAATCTATGAAAGCAAAGTACATATACACCGAGTTTCTCTTATAACAGCTTTGAGCGAAAACTATTGACTAGTCACTATCATCTATACATATCAAAATATTTTGAATAATCTAATGACATATCTTTGTCCAGTCAAACACATTAAGGTAATATTGGTCCATAAATTAGTTCAAAATTCGAAAGGAATCAAATTCCATTTATCTGCCCTGATATCATTTTCTATGTTAAGTCGATATGAGGGGAAAAGGTGACAACTTTGTTGTTTTTCTAAGCAACCAACTTTATAGAAAAACGCTGTGTTTGAATAGTATTTCCCATTGAAACACACAAGATGATCACCTCTCTATTAGGACCAACTTTCTTGTTTCCCTTCAAATTTAGTGGTCCTTTTATGCAGGTAAGATTGTAATAGTATTTGTTAGACCAGAAGGATAATAGGTATACCCTGAACCAAAACACAGACATTTCCTTAACAGATTTTTACGAAGAAAAACTAACAACAAATTCAGCTTAGATTAATAACTGTATTGTATGCATTCCTTTACAGAGATATAATTGACACTATCGACTTCTAACAATATCAAGGCAGTAAAAATATCAGTCATACTTTGCTTATTGTCGAATACAAAATCACCATGGCATAATACTACAGAAATGAATACATTACATACACTTATATATACAGTGATGAATTCTGAACCTTCTTAACAATTCATCAATGTTGTTGTTGTCTTTGCTGAACTGCAACAAAAAAAATGTTATGAATACAACAATGACTTATAAACAATGCGTAGCTCTATACTGTCATAATAATATTACATTCATTCATACACAAACGCCTCTTCCAAAACTCAAACATCTATTCCAAAACACAAAGATTCTGTTATTTTAACATAATGCCTTTAGAAAAATGAATACAATTAAATGAATGATACCTTGTTAAGAATACTGGACAACATCCCTTTTCTCTCTCTGGTCATGAAAAGGTTTTTCATCAACAAACATTTATCAACACTTAAATTTAACAATGAAGTTGGCAGGTTTCTATCAGAGTCGACTGAAAGGAAATAAGGACTCTTCAATTATCAGAAGACCAGGCGGGATAAAGAGATAAGGACGGAAATAGAAAAATGGTTGGCACTTGGCAGCTATGCATTACATACATTTATCTTACATATATTTTATCATAGTCAGTCCTCTGTCCTCTCTGATACCAACTCTGACACAACTACTCAGGAAACAATTATTTAAAGAATAGGTTGAATAAGGAGATTGGGATGGTGCATAGTTATTACATTCACACAATAATAGTAATAATAATAATATTTAATTTTTATATAGCGCTTAATACAAATGTCTCTAAGCCATTTCAGAGATACCATCTGCACATGGGCAGATAAAGGTCATTTGTAACAATTTAAGAACCCATCAAGATATGCCACACTCAACCCAGGTGATGTAAATGGGTACCTGGCAGGAATTAATTCCTTGGAATGCTAGAGCGCTATAATGGCAGCACAGCTAAAGCCGGTTCAATAATATCCAAGTTTGGAAGCGCTTAGAGACTTAATTGTAATTCGCGCTATATAAAAGTTGAGTATTAATATTATTATTATTATTACATCTACATGTTCATGAAAGTTATGTTATTATAATTTAAAAACTCTAATCTGTTCAAAACTAAGCCCAAAACTTAGAATGGAAACCTGATCGACAATGATGCCATGTTTAGAGCGATAACTGATGACAACAACGATTTGTACATTTTAGGCAAGTTCCTAAATTAGTAATAAAAAATCAAGATAATGCTGCCATGATCAAACAAACCCCTAATGCTGTCCAATAAATTAAACCTTTTAACTCACATGATCTACTTAAATATGCCACTCTTAAGAAATTACCTCAGGTTTAATTGTTCTTTTTGAAAGGGTTAGGGTAAGCTGAAAAAGCGTCCAAATTATTTTGACATTACATTCACAATGTTGTTAAATACATGTGATAAAGGAAGATCTTCAGGTCAATTAAGGCTGGAAATGGTTATTTGATAACGCTTTTATAGACCTCTCTGCAATGATGTAATAATTGTTACTAAGTGTCTATGCTGAGTAGCTGATCTGGCACCCATTCAAGTAATCATGTGCCTATCAGCGAACATGGTAAAGAAGTGATTACGCTGATTAGCAAATGTGGCACAGAAAGAGATACATGTAAGCCCTCCCCAAGAAATGGGCTTCATTCTAACCAAACGTAATGTACCTTGCCTAGGAAAAGATGCAAAAACGTTTTTAAAAAGTCGAGCAGTGCTGACATTCAATTTGCAGATTAAATCGACATTTCGAAAACCAGTTAGAGGTGGTTCTGTTGCATTATCATTACACATGATAGGTTTATAATTACTTTTTTCTTCAATGAAGCTTGGTGTCTACTTTTCTTTGTGAAATTTCTCAGAGGTAAAATACAGGGCGTTCCAGAAAGAAAAAAAAATATCTAAAAAGAAATAGTTATTGCAAACAAACTATGAGCCGTATGAATATAATTCCTTATTTTTCACAAAGTAGAAGTAGTATGCTTTCAGATCATGTATTGATTACATTAATCGAGATGCTTCACTGAGCAAAATTGTTTTGAAAATGGCATGTCGAAATTCATGTGCCAGATTGTGGTATTTTTTTGACATGCCATTTTCAAAACAATGTTTCTCAGTGAAGTGTGCATGGATTAATGCAATTAAAGAATCATGTCAAATCATATTACTTCTACATGTACTTTCTGTTTCATGGTTTTGTTTTTACCTCGGACTCACTGCACATGCATAGATCATAACCAGTTGAATAATAAAGCCCTAAGAAAACTCTGGCTCTGATTAATGGAAAACATGTTTTATATTATCATCTTATCAAAATGTACTCAATGCCTTCAAACAATTTCTTCAGGGCTCTTTAGATTCTTCAAGTGTCGAACATGTTCTCTATTTTCTTTACTTCTTTTCCACTTCTTTGATTACAAATTATGCCTTGGGCTCGGTCTTCAATCTGCAAAGAAACGTAAACATAAACAGACCCACAATCAACAAGATCTCCTTTTCTCATAAGGCAGTGTGCTCTTGATTTGGTAGCCTTAGCAATAATTAACTAACAAGGACTTACAGTATCTTTTCAGCCTTATTCATTCAACTGTTTGTTGTTATGGCATCAAGATCAGTTACATACATGTAGTTTCTATATTCTTGGAATACCACTATTACCCACTTGCCACTTCCTATATTTTGTATTTACAACATAATTTACTTTAGCTCAGGCTCAGCTTGCATGAGGGGCTCCCTTTTCTGTCATTAACAGAGCCATCTATACAGTGTTTGACCAACTTGGCCTCAGTTGGTCACAACACGTCATATATTCTTTTGTTTAGGGCTTGCCCAACACAGCAACAACATTTGCCATATTGTTCCCAAGTTGAACTGGGTTGGCCAAACTCTCCTAATTAATGGCACAGGTCTGCATCCCATTCTAACATGCAATTTTAGTTTCTAGCATAAGCGATTATTATTAGAGAGAGAAAACAAACATGGTTTTACCTTGTTCTTCAAGCAAAATGAAATAACCAATCTTTTTTTGTCTGTGTCCCTCTTCACCAGTGTATTGTCTGCTGAGAGCCAAAAGGGCGTACACTCTCTAGAAATTCATATCTTAATGTCCTTCTTGCTCTCAGCAGAATTATGCAACTTACTCTAATGTCTTATTCCCATATCCATTACTTTGAGAGTGTGTATGAGTGATGTTTCTAAATTATGTTTTTATTTGCAAAATGAAATAAAGTTGAATTGAAAAAATGTACCACATGTACAAATGTTAATCAATCTATGAATACTAGACTGTGGTAATCAAAGAATTTATCAATTACTTTTTGAAACACATATCAATTTCCATCTTACATTGACAAGAAGGCATTATATTCATGGTGGTTCCAGTAACAACCCATGCAAGCAAAGTCTCATTTTCAAATATGTGCGAGTCATTTTATATACCGGTATCAGTTTACCATCGGGTGTGGCACATTGGCACAGATACCGGTATATAATCACTCTCAAGCAGGGCACATTAACATGGAGACTGGTATCGGCTTGTCCCAGGGCGTGGCACAGTGATACCATTTCTCAAACTTATCCTTGATTCTAGTCGTTGGCCACTTTTCCAAGGAGCTGGTAGACTTCTGAGGTGCCGGCTTGGGAGGCGGCTCCGGAGGGGTTGAGGGCAGCAGAGGTGGATGGAGCGGTGGAAGACACGTTGGTGGACATCTCAAACTCCACCTGACTTCCTTCGCTGGTATCACCTGTACACACATGAAACGAGGTGAAAAGGAATCTGGATGAATGACTGATCTTTAAACATAACATATTCTAATGTACATGTATGTATGTTTCATTCCTGGGGACCTAGTAACAGTCATTCCATTACCCAGGTTGGTTATTAATTAATGAACTACAATACTTGGAATTATGTGTTGTTATGTGAGGCAAGCCTTCAGGTGGTGAAGAAAAAACTGTTTACAATCTGAAAATGTTATTGTAAACTGCAAAGACTCTTGAAAAATCAACCTAGGGTAATTTTAATCAACTTATCCATCGCCTTTGGAAATGCGCAATGTACAATGGCACATGACATAATCTGAACATATTCCTTTTGGCAATACATTAGAAATTGCCATTGAGTTGATTACTTGAAAGACTTTCCAATTGTTTTGCACTCATTTTATTGGTACTGAGCTCCAACATCTACCCCCTTTTGTACCATGGGTGGCAAATCCTACTCAAAATTATTTACAAATGTGGTCAAAATTGCTTTTGTTGTTGTTTTGTTTACCATTTTTACACTTCAGGTACTGTAATTAAACTCATACAATATATGTTGCAATGAGACAAGTAATCAAAGCCCAAAATTTGACTTGTTAAAAAAAAAAAATTGTTTGTTAAATTAATGTAGTAGTAAGAGGAGGATAAACACACATGTTCCTTATAAATGGTTCATGCAAATTATTGAGAATGCAATGAAATGTACATTTCAAATTGAAAGACAAATGGTAATTGTCATAGAGATTTCAGGGATAAGTTTAAAAAGTTATAGAAGCAATTGAAGTGGTAATAATTTACTTAATAGGCATTAATAATTTTATATTTCAATTTTGTTACTGCACAAGTTGAATCAACATAATCAAATTGATCGATCGTAATCGATTATTTACCAACCCTGAATCATATTTTATCTATTTGGTAACACATTTATTACATAACATACGGAAGTTCTCTACGACCTTTTTCATTTGTTTTCCATTCATGTCCAATCAGAAAACTGAGATTGAAGGATGTACTGGTACAAAGAAGATAGCTCTAGTACAAGAATATAACAAATTAGATTTCATAGAAGATGCTGCTAATTTATAAACAAATTAATGACATGGGAAGAAGGTCACAATGAATTATAAACATTTCATTTCGCTTCAAATTCTAATTTTATAAAATCATACTTTATTATCTCAGAAGATTCATGTCATATAGAGAGAAATTAAAATTTAAAGAGATGTAAAAAAAAAAAAACAAATATACAACATGATTCCAGGAATAAAAAGCAATTATTTAGTTTTTTTTTATAAACGAAGAAGGTCACCTTTGTAATGAAATTGATAATTCTGTATTAAAGAAAAGGTGATTCAACAGTGCAAGGATGATTATATTTGTACTAGAAGAGAAAACAATGATGATTTCCCAAGAATGCAGCCAAGGGGTATTAGAAGCTAATTGGACTCATCATCAACAATAAGATCGCGTTTGGCAATCCTAATGACCGACGATGCAGGTCCGGCTTTTATCCCCTCTGGGGGTTAAGCGCTGATGAAATTAGCTGTGGATGCACTCTGGGCCGTTCCCCCAGAGAGACGGGGGTTCGTCTGTCCTCGCGTGGCCTTCAGGAAATAAACCAGCTAGCATCATCTCATCCATTCATGATATCTCGCCTTGATGCATCAATGCGCAACGAGCGAGCTGGCCCGTAATACAATGGGTGCACAGGATGCAGTGACATTCTCACATTAAAAAACATCGCGCTTTTGTAAACATGTTTCCCATCTCCCCATACAATTCGGCCCACACACTGAAATCATCATAATGACCTGTTGTGAAACTAATCTAAATAAATTTACGAGTGCTTCCGCTTTTTTCCCTGTAGTTTACATTTCTAAGAAGTTAATTTGTCTTTTGTTGAATTTCACTTCCACAGCATAATACATTCATAATGAATAAAGTACACACATTTTTTTTCCGCCGAGAGGAAAGATGTATTGTCTGAGTATTCTAGGGCTATTCTATGGTGGCAATTACATCCCAGGACAATCCAATATAATCTACAAGATGTTTGGACTCCTAACTTAAAGGTAAAGTTGAGTATTGGTCATGCGATTGCAATGTGAAAGAAACGGTGTGGATTTGATAGCATACAAGTATTGGTGTGTACTGCAGGATTCTTGAATCATCAAAAAGATTTAATTTGGCTCAGTCTCATGTACACTGTAAAAGATTTACAGTGTACATGTACATGTACAGTACACGCCGAAAATCTCCGCAACACGATTACACGATTTATTTTTAGGATTACACGGTTTACACGATTCACCTGAATCGTGTAACTGTGTAATCGTGTAAATTTACACGATTGAAGATTGTCGCTCTGAATCGTGTAATCGTGTAAATAGTTAAGTGCATTGGTCGGATGATTCGACCAGATGTAACAATCGTGTAACTGTGTAATCGTGTAAATTTACACGATTGAAGAATGTCGCTCTGAATCGTGTAATCGTGTAAATAGTTATTAGGGTTATAAGGGCATTGGTAGAACGATGCGACAAGCTGCAACAATTGTTAAATCTTATCCTGCTTACACCAATTGCTTTATACACAACTTACCTTCAGTGTACATCAGGTAATTACTGTACTTTATATTCGTGTATAAACCTCAGCACTTTCCACTAACATGTATCGTATACTAATCCGTGAGACAAGGTAGGAAAACGTCAGAAACAGGAAGACATGATAGATGAAATAGTAAAGGAAAAAAGATAGCTAGGAGGAGAAGGGAACATATAAAAGGAAAATGAGGGTTGAAAGGCACGATAAAGATAAACAGAAAAAAAGAGAGAAAAAAGGGAAAACTAAAAAGTTGACCGGAAGAAAAGAAAGAGTGAAATAGAGTGATAAAAAAAAGAAGGGCGAAACCTAGTAAAATTAACAGAAATGAGAAGGCTATGAAACGGAGAGGAAAAGAGACAAATTAATAAGGTAAGAGGGGAACATAATGAGGGAAAGAGAGGCGAGAAAGATATGGGGGAATGAAAAGATAGAAAGAGAGAGAGAGAGAGTGAGAGAGAGAGAGAGATAAAAAAAAGCTTTAGTTGAAAGAAAAGGTATCAAAAGTGAAGAGGGGCACTTCTCGTACTTAAAGAGGGATACTTACTAGAGATTAAAAGGACACTAATGAGAATGGAAAATGGACACTTATTGTAAAGGAAATTAGGAACTCATCGAAGGAAAAGGGGTGTGTGTCAAAAGAAAAGGAGCACTTATCAGAGTTGAAAAGGGGAAGGGGCACTTTTACAAATTAATAGGGACACTTGTCAAAGTAAATTAGGTACTTTTCCTACATACAAAGGGACACTTTGGGGGAACTTGAAAAAGTGGGGGGACACTGTGCCGCTAGCTAAACGTAACTCAAAGAAAGTTGGCCATTCACTTATTCTATTCATTCTCTGCTTGCAACTGTTCCCTACACTCTGTAGCCAGTGGCTTACATACTTATGTACATGTACATGTAATACCTATTGTTCAGGGGGATCCTATGTTCAAGGGGAACCCCCTGAACAATAGGTATTATGTAAGGATCTCTGCCTGTAGCTAGGGCAACGGCCTTTGTCCCCGGCGAGGGTCAATGGCAGGCCACATTCAGAGTAAGCTTCTTTTATATGTGACAGGAAGTGTGCCCTTAAGCCTTGACCGTAGCTCTTTATACATATAGCTGAATAATGCAATGTTGTAAAAGGTAATTTACGAAAATGAGGAACGCTAAAAAAGCAATAAGTGATCAAAGTCTAAGGCCCGAATTCACAAAGGAGGTTTGTCGACAAACCTTGGTTTTCGTGCGTCATATGACGCGTTTTTACAAACCAGGTTTGTAAAATGGATAATGATTGAATAAAAAAAAAGTATAACGATATTCATAGTAACGAATGAACTGGTGAACCGTAATTCTAATTGGTACAGCCTTGTAATGTAAGAGTATCACAACATACTTAATTATGTTAGCCCTCTACATTTTGTAATTATTTTTACTTATTTACAACTTAGGAATAACAAAATTCCCCCCTTCCTTCGTCGTTCATCGCTTTTTTCTTTTTTCTCACCGAGGATTAAATCCGAGAGTGCTTTTCGGGAAGTGGACTGATTTTTTTAACTTTCAAACATTCTATAATAAAACTAGAGACAAGACACTGCAATTAAAAATATATACAAGAGAAAGAAAGCGTAATCTTCGCTATCCCCTCGTATCGTCCACGATGTCCTCGTTCAACCAAGAAGTAACTTCTTGCTTTTACTGAACTAGACGTCCTTAACCTGCTCACCATCACCACTGAAAATAAATTGTAGCACAATTCCAGCGAGCAATCGAATCGTGTAAATTTTGAATCGTGTAATCGTGTTGCGGAGATTTTCGGCGGGCAGATTACACGATTACACGATTCGACCTGAATTGAGGAATCGTGTAATTTTACAATATTCAAATTTCGCTTCATTGGCAAAAAACGAATCGTGTAAAAATAAATGGTTACACGATTCCCGCGAGCAGTCGAATCGTGTAAATTTTGAATCGTGTAAATCGTGTTGCGGAGATTTTCGGCGTGTACTGTATATGGAATAATGGAACTACACAAACATGTGGCATAAAAATGAGACCCACATTTTTAAGCTGTTACATGTCATATTTAGGATATGAAGGCATTTGAAGAGCCATGCTTTTCAGGGAAATTTTTTTTTCTGATGTTCTTCCACTCTTGCATGATAATGCTCACAAATTATTTTTCACCTCTCCCTAGAACTCAACCTTCTCTTTAAAGTTGTGATTGATGAAATTCTCCCCCGGATTAGAATGGATGATTAGATGGATGGATCAAATGGAACATCATCTCCATCAAAATAGACAGGTAACACTATTGGGCAACAAAATTATACATTTTTCTATTAGATAGCTGTATTTGTCTATCAAGTAACAAATTTTTCAACTTTCATAATA